TCCGCGTGAATACTATCTTTTTAGAGAAAATTCTTAAGAAACAAATGCAATACCACCGGTCATTGCAATTTTGGACTATCGCAACGAATTTGGAATAAATCGCAACGCGAACTTCGACTATCGCAATGCGAACTTCGACTATCGCAACGCGAACTTCGGCTATCGCAATGCGAACTTGGACTATCGCAACGCGAACTTCGACTATCGCCTTGCGAACTTGGACTATCGCAATGCGAATATGTAAATCGCAATGCGAACTTGGACTATCGCAATGCGAATATGTAAATCGCAATGCGATAGTCGAAGTTCGCGTTGCGATAGTCCAAGTTCGCATTGTGATAGTCGACTATCGCATTGCGATTTACATATTCGCATTGCGATAGTCCAAGTTCGCATTGCGATAGTCGAAGTTCGCATTGCGATAGTCGAAGTTCGTGTTGCGAATCTGGAAATTGATTTGCGATACCGGAGATCGCGTTGCGAATTATCGATCGCATTGCGATTTAGTTGGTCATTTTGGCAAATCCAAAAAAAGTTGGTTAAAATCGTATATTATAAGACATTTTTGGTCACTGAGGTTATTTTCTCTTGTTGTAATTGTCCTTTTGGAGTATTATCCTTTTTTATTGGGTTGTTTGTATTATCTTATGATTTTTTAGTTTTTAAATTATATGTGTAATTTTTTGATTTAGTTATTAATATATTTTGGGATACTATTTTTCCTTCTTTCACTATCTTTGGTTTTGCCTTGACATGTCCTAAATAAGAATAGAGTTTTAATGAGGCTTGTAGTTTAATGAAATAAAAAATTCATTTTCTAAAGAAACTCAAATAACTTGACTTAAATTTTATAAACTTGACTCGATTTGAAAAAAAATGAAATAAAGTTTGAATAATAAAATATGATTTGTTAGCTCAAACTACTAAGAAATTTGTTTACTTGACTTGATCAAACGTTCACCGTTAATTGTTATGCAAAGGAAATGGAAGTGTTCCATAAGAATAATACATGGAACCTACGAAAACTTCATAATGATAAAAGGGCAACTCATAGTAAATGATTTTTCGAGAACAAATAAGGAACTCTATGAGTCGAGGCGATAACACCAAAAAATCACCTTTACCAATTTTATTTACCTGTCAGACATCCTTTCATCTTTATTTATCGATCTAACACCCTTTGCAGAAAGGCGCGATATCTTTATTTACTGATCTAACACTCTTTGCATAAAGGTGCGGCCCATACATCGCGCCTTACACTGATCTGGCGCCACGTGGGGTAAGGCGCGACCCATGCACCACGCCTTGTAAAACGTGTAAAAAATTGGGTGCTACTTTTGTATATATTTTTAAAATTATGCCTAATATGTAATTAAATTTTGTTAGAGTGATATTTGTGTAAAATCGTCAACTTTATTTATTTATTTTTTGTGTGTGAAAAAAAACTGTCTACATTAAAATATTTAAATATTCTTTTACAAATTATTTTATAACTCGATAAATTTTAATTTTTACATGAAATTACACAATATGTATAATCTAGTATAGGAAAACTTTGAGGGTAAGTATTTTAAAATATGAATAATTTTATAAAACTTTTATAACTAGTATTTCTTTTACAAAATGATGATGATGATGATAATAAATATTTTATAATTTTAAAAATTATAAATTTCATATATTTTGAAAATTTTATTGACTTTTAAAATTAATTGTTTAAAAATATAAAAAATATTAAAATAAACTTTTAATTACAATTGATGGATCAAATGAATTATTATTCATTAATTATTATTTTAACAACTGTTAATAATGTTTATTCATTTTTAATAAAATTATTTTGATTTTTACATGAAATTACACAATACGTATAATCTAGTATAGGAAAATTTTGAGGGTAAGTATTTTAAAATATGAATAATTTTATAAAAGTTTTATAACCAATATTTCTTTTACAAAATGATGATGATGATGATAATAATAACTATTTTATAATTTAAAAAATTATAAATTTCATATATTTTTGAAAAAATTATTGAATTTTAAAATTAATTGTTTAAAAATCTAAAATATTAAAATAAACTTTTAATTACAATTGAGCGATCAAATGAATTATTATTCATTTATTATTAATTTTTAAGAACAGTTAATAATGTTTATTCATATTTAATAAAATTATAATTTAAAAATTATTTTATTTTTTAAAATTAATATTAGAAAAATTGTCCCTCAATAAAGAGGTGATCTTTTTTTTATCTTTACATTCTTTTTTTTATTGAATTTTATTCATTTTAATTCATTTTTATTGTATTTTTATTGATTTTTAAAAAAAAATGAATAATAATTCATTTGATCTCTCAATTGTAATTAAAATTTATTTTAATATTTTATATTTTAAACAATTAATTTTAAAAGTCAATAAACATTATTAAATGTTGTTAAAAAATAATATCACACAAAATAAATAAATAAAGTTGATGTTTTTATATAAATATCACCCTAACATAAATTAATTGAATATTAGACATCATTTTAAAAATATTTATAAAACTAGCACACGATTTTTTACACGTTTAACAAGGCGCGGTGCATGGGCCGTGCCTTCTGCCACGTGTCGTAAGACGCGGTGCGTGGGCTGCGCCTTCCTACAAAGGGTCTTAGATCGGTAAATAAAGATAAAAGGGTGTCTAACAGGTAAATAAATTTGGTAAGAGTATTTTTGGGTGTTATCGCCATGAGTCGAAGAATCCAAGTATAGCGTAAGGTTGATTGTAAAAAGTTACATTCAGACTTCAGGCATAGAATTTATTGGTCTAGTTGTTAAGTACAAGGCAATTTGAGCCTTGCTTGGTATAGTGCCCATGTATGATTTCAAATTTGAGCATTTAGATGTAAAAATAGACTTCTTTCATGGAGAACTTGAGGAAGACATATGTAACAATTAGAGGATTTCATAATCTTACAAAAGAATAGTCATGTTAGTATCTTGAAAAAAATCTCTTTATGGCTTAAACAATCACATAGGTAGTGTTGTAATATAAGAGGTTTGATTCATTTATTACTACTCATTATTTCAAAAGAAAAAAAATTAATTGCTGTATTTATTTAAAAAAGAGTAATGATGGTTCATTGATATATCTACTCCTTTATGTTGATGATGTGTTGATAAAGGCCAAATATAAAGGAGAAATAAGAAAGGTCAAAGCTTAACATAATTAGGAAAGACTTTGAGATGAAGGATTTAGGAGCAACATAGAAGATACTTGGATAGAAATTCTCAAAGATAGAAAAGCATGTAAATTATACCTAAGTTAAAAAGGATATATTGAGAAAGTTCTTTTTAGGTTCAATATTCATAATGCTAAGCAAATTAGTACTCCATTAGTAGCCCAATTCAAACTTTCATCAATATTATCTTCAAATTGAAATGATGATTTTGAGAACATGTCACATGTTATATATTATAGTATAATAAAATCTCTCAAGTATATTATGATTTGCTCGCATCTAGACCTATTAGATGCATTTAGTATAATTAGTAGATACATGATGAATTATGGTCAATAACATTGAAAGGTAGTTTAGTCTATCTTTAGATACTTATGAGGTACTACTGATATTTGCTTACAGTTTGGAAGAGCAAGAGATGAAATTATTGGGTACGTTGATTCTGATTTTTTATGAAACCTTGATAAAAGGTCTTTTCCAAGGTACATATTTACTATTGGGGTTGAGCTATTAGTTGGAAGTCACTTTGCACAGTAAAAATTACTCTATAAACTATTGAAGTTAAGTACGTTACAATTACTGATATTTGTAAAGATGCAATTTGGATAAAGGGACGTTTGGTGAACTCATGAAGATCTTCAAATCATCATTATGCTTTGTGATAGTCAAAGTTTCATCTTCCTCAAAAAAAAAAAAAACAAATGTTTTGTGAGAGGATGAAATATATGACATTATTGTGAGCAAAATTAGCACACATGACAATCCTACATGATGATTAAGTCGTTCCCTACTAGGTTTGAACATTACATGGACTTGGAGTTCATTGTTGATGAATATCTCTTTTAGGGGTTTTTAAGGGGTTTCGTTGAAGAAGTGTATATCTTGTTTTTCGCATATTCTAATCAAGATGGAGAATGGTAAAATTGTGTGATTCGATCCGGTCCAAAATATATGATAAACAATGAAAGGAAGAAAGAAAATAAGAGATCTATTTGGAAACCCTTTTTTTTTTGCTCAGCAAACTGAAAAATTTTATTCCAATTTCAAGGTATCCAAAACTCCAACTTAGAGCCTCATTAAAAAAACCCCTAAACCTAAATGAGGAGAAGAGCACTCCAAAGTTGAGTAAGACAGGGCTACAAAACTACTTGATACAAAATTGAGGCACACCTTGAACTAAAAGACTCCCCCACCCTAGCAAGATGAAATGCAGCCACCACAAAAAAAACCATCCCAATAGACTCTTTAAATAAAACAACCCCATGTACCTTCTTGTCAATCTAGGAACATACAATCTGATAAAAGAACACTGAAAAATTAACTTCCAAAACTAAAAATCACCAGCTTACCTTGAACATCGTTTTCCTCGACGATCCCATCTTTGCCAAGTAATATGCCATATTGTTGGAAGTCCTAGGCGAGAACACAAACTTACTCTCAGGTATCTTCAATACATTGGCATCTATTTCCTGAAAAACTGCTCCCCACCTCCACGGACGAACATAGAAATTCTGAGCCCAATTCAAGACTACTTTAGAATCAGATTCTACGATAAGAATAGCCTTACCACACCAACAAGATTCAACGAACACCTCTAGTGCAATTTTAATTGCTACCAGCTCCGCATAATCTAAATTCACCTCAGTTATCGGCCCAAAAAACATTGATACTACATATCCATCTGCTGTCCTCAAAACTCCCCCACAGCCTGTTGATTTATTTGTTACAGAACCATCCACATTGAACTTCATCTGACATAATACTGGCGGCTATCAAACGATCTTAGAAGCTTGATACATAGCAGCTGACTTTGCAGGCCGATCCCACCAACATTTCTTATCCAAATCAGTAAATTCCTTCAACGCCTTACACCAAGCAAACACTCTCATCTTCACATATACAAGCAAGTCTTTAAGTTTAATGCCTTTATTTCGAAAAACATAATCGTTCCTCGCCAGCCATAGACTCCATAATGCCGTAGCAAAACTTACAAACCAAGCCAAAGCTATAGATCCTGACCACCTACACTGATAACAAAACTCAAAGACTTCATCCACTGTCTGTATATTTAAACCTGAAATATTCCACCACCTGCAAAAAGCATTCCAAAAGCAGTGCATAAAAATACATGACACAAACAAATGGTTCGCATTCTCTTCAACATCCCCACACCAAGGGCATAAAGTTTGAGCATCTGACAGCGTAATCCCTCTAGATTTAAGGAATACCTTTGTTGGTACTCTATTCAATTTAAGTATCCACAAAAAATATTTCACCTTCGGATGAACTTTTAGATTCCATATTTTGTCAAAATTAAACGAACCCTCAACTTCAAAATTCCCATCACTAAGCAATAACTCATGCAATTTTTTGACCTTGAACAACCCATCATTTTCATGCACCCATACAATCCGATCTGCCACGGACGGATTTAAAGTCACTTTGTCCACTTCTCGTTTTATAATTTCTACCAAGGCTAGTTCCCTATCCAACAATTGTCTCTCAAACAATCCTGTCATAGCTAAACTCTGTCAATCGCTTGCATTGAGCATTTCCCACACCGACATATATTTCCTTGACACTAACCTGTATAAGCGAGGATATCTTAATCTTAAAGCTATTTCTCCAAGCTACACATCCTCCCACAACAGTGTTGCTTTCCCATCTCCCACTATCCATCGAAATGATTCTCCACTCATCCATTTACCTATTCCATCCCCATATAAATTACTAACGATCCCTCTCCAAGTTATAGAAGCATTTTTTGTTCCTCCTTTACTAACCAACCAGGACAGATCACTTGAGTCGTATTTGTGGCATATTACTGACCTCCATAATGCCCATCTTTCGACAGCAAATCTCTATCCCCATTTCGCTAATAATGTGTTATTCTTTACCTTTAAATCAATTATTCCAGCTCCACCTCTCTTTCTCGGATTACACAATCTACCCCAGTTCACCCTCGGTAATCTCTTTTTATTGCCATCATAACCCCATAAAAAACCTCTTCTGATTTTATCAATTTTTGCTACTACTGATTTCGGAACTGGGAATATTGACATATAATACAAAGGCAGCAATGACAACACTGAATTAATAAGAACCACTCTTCCGGCAAACGATAACATCCTGCTTTTCCAGCCCACCAGTTTGACTCTGAATTTTTCAATTACTGGATCCCACGTCGATATTTTTCTCGGATCCGCCCCTAATGGGATTCCTAAGTACTTGAACGACAAGGTGCTCACAGAACAACCACACAATAGTGCTAGCTGATTCAAATTATTTTCTTCAACCTTCACCCCTGCTAAACACGACTTCCTTAAGTTAATACTTAACCCCGATCCCATTTCAAAACATCTCAGAATTCACTTAACATTGGAAAGAACTCTTTGATCTGGACGAAGAAACAGAATCGTATTATCCGCAAATTACAAATGTGAAATACTTGAATTTGGTGCCACGTTATCGATGCCTTCAATGTATCCTTTTCGAACAGCTTCTTCTAACAATAAATGGAGAGCCTCTGTTATCATTATAAACAAAAACGGGGATAATGGATCTCCCTGTCTTAAACCCCTGTGCATCTTGGATTCTTTTGTGGGAGACCCATTCAATAAGACAGAAACTCTAACCGTCGAAATGCATTCCCAAATCCACCGTCTCCATTTGCATCCAAAACCCATACATTTCTGCACCGAGTCTAAAAATTCCCAATCAGCGTAATTGTATGCCTTTACAAAATATAATTTTAATATCAAACCACCTCTCCCTCCCCTCTCTTTATTCAAAGAGTGAATAACTTCATTTGCCACTAAGATTCCATCAAAACTCTATCTTCCAGCTACAAATGCACATTGGGTCTCGCTTATCACCGTTCCAATCACTCTTCTTAACCTCATTGCTAACACTTTAGCAATTATTTTATACACGCTGCTCACCAACGATATTGGTCTATAATCTGAAATTTCAGTTGGATTTTCCACTTTCGGGATCAATGCTAAAAAAGATGAGTTAACACTCTTCCCCATCTTTCCACTCATGTTAAAGTTGTCCATAGTCTTCATCAAATCTCCTTTTATATACTCCCATGACTTCTTGAAAAATTCTATATTAAAGCCATCCGGTCCCGGTGCTTTTGCCTCACCACAACTCCACACAGCTTCTTTCACTTCTTCAATCGAAAAATTTGCTTCCAGCTCTTCAACATCAGCCCTTGAAAGTTGTTTGAACGGAAGATTGATCACTGTTTCCCACTCATTCTTCTTTCGTCTAAAATGATTGCTAAAGAAATTAAAGACTTTGGCTCTAAGTTTTTCCGGCTCCAATTCAGTGTCCTCTCCCAAATTAGCTCCCAAGATCAGATGTTTTTACTGCGAAACTTTACTACATTATGGAAAAAAGCAAAATTTTCATCTCCCAATTTCAGCCAGTTTAATCTAGATTTCTGACGCCAAATATCCTCCTTCTCCCTCAAAAGGTCCCATAGCCTTCATGTACAATTCAATACCTCCTCTCTTTCTCCATTATTTAAACCTTTAATATCTCATTTCCCGTCCAGCTCGTTGATCCTCTTCTCCAATTTCTTTGCTTCACTGTCAACATTCCAGTAACATTGAGTGTTCCATCTCTTAAGTTCTTCTTTCACTCTCCTTAACTTCACACTTAATTCTTCATCTCTTGCTTCTTCTTGCTGAAATACCTTCTTGATAACTTCAGTGCAACTCTCCTGTTTTAACCAGTTGTTTACCAATTTAAATGGTCTAGGCCCCCAATCTATCGTCTCCTTCCCTAATAAAATAGGAATATGATCCGAGACCGTTCTCGGCAACCCCAGTAGAGATACATCACTATTTACTTGAAACCATTCATCCTCAACAAGAATCCTATCCAATCGACTTTTTCTATTTGCTAGCCCAAACCAAGTGAATTTCCTCCCTGATAAAGGCATGTCAACAAGATTACATTCTTCTATGAACTCATTGAAAGCTGCAATCTGTGTTTGTCTGTAGGAACACCCACTTCTCTCACTAAGATTTCTAATTGCATTAAAATCACCCGCCATGAACCATTTATTATTGTATTTCCTCCTAGCTTCCACAATTACATTCCATAATGGAATTTGTTCAGAAACTTCACAAGGTGCATAAACATTCAAAACAGAACATATCGAATCATCTAAGGCATACTTCCCTTCAATCAAAATGAACCTTTCTGTAATTAGGCTATCAAGAATCTGAAAACTATTTTTATCCCAAACAGTCAGTAAACCCCCAAATCTTCCCATTGCTTTCGAAAATTTAAAATCAAATTCATCGTCACACCATAATCTGCTTATTTCTACATCCTTAATATCCTCCTTCTTTGTCTCTTGTAATAACACAAATTCAATTCTATAAGTCCGAATAAACCTTCTAAGTTCTGAAAATTTCACATTAGAGTTCATACCTCTTGTATTCCATGACAAAATCCACATCTGGACTCCTCCCCCACTGATTTTCAGCTAAAATTCGATGGATTGGGATTGAGACTCTCCTACAGAATCATCCACATCTGCAATTTCCTTAACCAAAACCTCCTCTGCACCTTTAAACTGTAAACCCAGCTCTCTGCCTAACTGTAGTGTTTTTTTCGCTTCTTTCTTTTGCCTTTGCCATCGTTCTTGGAGATCTGAAACCGATAATGACCTTCCTTCAATTTCCGTCGGCTCTTCCCCGCTTTGCACCTTTCTCTGGTGTTTCTTAACTCGGCAATTTCTATTTTTCTCTGGGTACCACCAAAATTTTCTTGTATTCCCTGAAGGGAACTGTATTTCTTTTTTCTCCCCGTCTTTTCTCCTACGTACTGCCTGGGATTGAAACTAACAATATCCTCGCTCACATTTGTTAATATACCCAACCCCAAATCCCATTCTCCCCTCACTGACCCCAACTTGGGCTCACTTCCCTTCCGTTCTATCTCATTCCCATCCAAATGGACTTCTAATCCTATAGCATCTTTTTTAGATAAAAAATTTATAAGGCCCATAAAGTCTGTGTCCTCCATCACTTTTTCCCCTAAACTCCCTTCCCATAGAGACAAATACTTTAAATTTTCATTAATTCCCTCGTTAGCCTCCACCACTTTAATTAATAACCTACTGTCATCTTCTGCCACTCCCCCCTCGTGTTCCATCCCCACCTCGTATTTCTTTTGAATATTCCCAGAGCTCACATCAATTTCATTCTGCCCCATTATTGTTTCCTCCCCAATGTCTCTCTCATCCTCATCCACGCCCGACATATTGCCGCCCTTTGATACATTCCCCATGCAACATAGCTGGCTATCGTCTCCCTCTTGCCATCTCTCCGAATTCTTCTCCTCCGATGAGTCCAAACTCTTGCCGGTTGACGAGCTCGATTCACCAGCGACTGAATTAACTTTAGCTTCTTGCTTAGGAATGCTTGTTTCACTTCTATTAGTGGGCAGTTCCACGATTCTTATTTTAAAAATGTCTCTTCCTGCTTCCAAATCAACCACATCATCTATCAAAACCTTTCTACTAGTTGCAATCAGGATGGACATCTCCTCACATCCCAGATCCTGAAAAGCATTTTCTCCCATAGCTAAATACTCTCCCCAATGCTCAGCTAACCTTTTAAAAGTATTATGATTCCAACAGTGTAATGGGACACCAATTACTTTAATCCAAGTAACTCTTTCAGAAGCTCTGTACGATTCTGTCCATGGATGAACTTCCGCGAACACTTCCAATAGGAACGACCATTTAAGCTCCTTCATGATTGTATACAACTCGTCGTCAACAAATTCTATTAAAAAATCTCTCCCTCCCAAGAACTTTATCCTAATCTCACCCAGACCTCCTGCTCTTAATCTATCTTCCACATGAGTCGAAGAACAAATCGTCGCCATTGTTCCTACCAGGCATCTATGAAGCTTTCTAACGGCGTCCTCATCAATAACCCCTTGTATAGTCGTACTTCTCCTGCATACTTTCACCTCAGACTCTTCTTCACTATTCATTTTATCTTTATGTACCCTTGTGTCTGTACTAAAGGATGAACGACTATTCAGATTCCCACTCTGATCCTTGGCTCTATACCGCGCTTCCTTTACTGATAGTCGATAGCCGAATAGCCAAAAACCGTTTAACCTCTGCATTGCTCTTACTGTATCATCTTTATTAGAGAACCTAACGAAACCAAATCGCTTCCCCATTCTGTCATTCTTCCTCGCTATGTAGGAGCTAACCACATCTCCATGTCTACCAAATAATTGTCTCAAACCCCTCCAATGATATCTAGGTGGTATGTTTTGAGCGAACAGAGTTTGACACTCACATACTTTCCCTGATCCTATCGCCGTCGATTGAGCCATATGTCTTTTAATGCGAGTTTCTTTTATCATATTATTTCAGTATATATAAATAGATATTAAGGATAGGATTTAGAAACAATATGATAGACTCTAAATTGTGTTGCGTTATAAATTATCTTGTAAACTTTTCTTTTACATAGACAAATTTCTCATCTTATATCCGCGATTTTTTCGGTTTTGTGTTTTACATTTAAATTTTGATGTATTACTTTTTATTTCTTTTGCTTTGCTACCGTATTAATTTGCCGTTATCGATTTCTTCTATGGCAGACATCAGAAGTTAGTTGAACTTCTAAAGCCTTAGCCTTTCTTGTTCATGGTGCTCTGGCTTTTACCAAATAGTATTTATATGATCCTCGTATTGATTTATTTAGACTCCAAAAGAAACTATTATTATCTTAAAATTCCAACAATTATGCCAATTAGGGTGCTAAACGTTGAATTTGCCCTTATTATTTTGATTGAATGATGCCATTGATGATAGTAGTAAAATATGAAACAACAATTCCCAAAGCAATCCCATATATGGAAGGGAATATGCATTTCGAAATTTAAAGACAAACTTATGTAGACGGAGTGTTCTAGACCTCCTTCACTACTTCCACAGCATCGTTCTTCACTTGTTCCTTGTCTTGTTTCTTCTCCTTAACTTCGCCTTCAATCTCAAAAGCCAATATAGGGAATGATCTGGATAAACCGGCAGGTGTCTTGAAAGTGATTTTCCCAGTGGGTGGATCATCAACATAGATATCACTGAGCGTTATCCAAACCAGAAGCTCCTTGGTATTCACCCCAGTGAGCTTTTTGATCTTGTTTTTCTCCACCACGGCGGTGACCTCGGTCGCGTAGGAAACGAGCCGCCCCTATCTTGTCGAACTTGTGGGTTATGCTCTTCTTCTGTTTGAGCCACACGAAACCTGTTTCCTTCACGTACCCGCATTCCTCGATGTCTCTCAGGGGCAACAGTCCTCTTGGCATGCCTACTTCTTCCAGCAGAAACTTTGATTTCACTTGGCATATCTCGTCTCCATGGTACATTTCTGAGGCACTCGCTTTGATCTCTTCGGTCACCAGAGACATCTTTCTTGATTTCTTGTAAAAGTTTTTTTTTTTTTTTTGGGGGGGGGGGGGCGTGAAGATGATATGTTGAGGCCTCAAGAGTGTGGTGTTGATATAGTTGTAGTTCTTTTTATTCTGCCTTGTGAGACGGAAAATATTTTGATAATGCCATTAGCATGCGCATTCTCGATCCAAGGCTAAGTTCTTGTGGGTCAAATTTTAATTTTAGTCCCTATAGTATACTGAACTTAGGTATTTGATAGTATGAATAACCTTTTTAGATTAAAAATTTATTAATCACTTTAATGTCAAATATTAACAATAACGTAAGTCGTAAAAGGAGATGTTGTTCTCCCTAGATGTCTTGGGTTCGAGCAGTTGCGCCTGCAGGTTGTGTGAGTTATCAATTGGTTATGAAAATTCTGAATATATAGTATTTTATAATCGCCTCAGAATGTTAAAAAACTATTAACAATGATATCAATTTAGGTTTAGTGACAACATCAAAAAATAGATAATCAAACTATTTAAAATGAAACTACAAAGATGAAATCTCAACTTCAAGTAGAATTGAGAGGCTAAAACAAGAATTAGACCATTCAGGGAACACAGCTAAGCGGAGTAAACTGGGTGAATAGACAAGGGCATAGAATTCCCCAAGCCATGCCTTAATTAGTATTTATGATACAGCTGGAAATTTGATGAAATTAAAATTGTAGAAGCATAGGGTGGTGGTGGGTGTTTTTAAAAGGCTTGATGAATGCCAATACCTATACGCCCACTGTGACAGTGTGGAATCCATTTATTGGAGTGATAAAAAGATGAACCACACCGATATCATGTTTCAAAGGTTCAGGGACCATTCTTTCTGTTTACTCTCTTTTTTTTCGTACTTGAAATATATGGTCCAGGAATGATTGCTGAAAAAGCAAAGTGTTCCATGGCAACATATTCTTTCGTTGCTAATATTTAGTAATTAAAACCAACAATGCACTGATGCGGATATAGGGATAAATACGGAAATGAATATGGAGACGTAAAATGGTAATTTTCAAAATTACATGGTAAGGGTGCGGCAAATATAAATAAATTTTAAAATTCGTAGTTATTACAAAATCATGTATTCAACTCGTCAGTTTTATGCTTATATTATTTTCGTTAAAACATTCGTTAAAACATACAAATTTTGAGTTTTCGACTTTTGATTGAGGCATTTAAATATACATTACAAAGGTAACTGTTCATGTGTAAGGAGAAATCTTAACCCAAAAAATCCTATTCGAAAATCCGTCGTACAACTGATTTTTTTTTATTCAAAATAAAACCAACTTCAATTTTTATTCAAAATCATTTTTTATTATTTTAAGTTAAATCTCGATAATAACCCTGAGTATGCGCATAAAGATCAAACGTTGTCCTTAATATATCCTCAAAAATCTTTGCGACGTATCCAACTAATTCTAATTGTACCCTTTCAATATGAGATGTTTATGATACATACTCAAACTATATTCGTCACGTATTCATCTCGGAAACGTATTAGGTACTTGGAGCCTACGTACATATCGTCATTCTACAAAGACTTGAAAGAAGATCAGTGGCTAATTTCTGAAACTTATTTACTCTCTCTGAATTCGAGGAGGATCAGCCTTTAATACATTGCTGATCTGCTACTGTGACTTTATGGGCCTGTAATACATGCCGGTGAGGAATGGTAGGTCCACCAAGGCCCTTCCCTGGGCAAAATTGACCCAATAAGATATATGAGTTTTTTATTTAGTCCATTAGGACAAGTTAAAATTTATTTTGTGATATGTGGTCTTTTCTACAGTGACATGTAACTCATTACGGTAAGGTGACGAGTTCTAATAAAAATATTTTTTTATTCTAACTTTTTACCTAGATGTGATAAATTTTAATAAAAAATTATATTTTATTCGAACTCGTTACCCAGGCTTGACGAGTTCAAATAAAAAAATATTTTTTTATTAAAACTTGTTACCTCAACGTGACGAGTTCCAAAAACACGATAAAAAATAT